ATCCAGAGGTTTAAATATTTGTCTCTTTTCGTCAAAAGTCCACACAGGTTTGTTCAATTACTATAGAACACAAATGGCAAGACAAATTATTCTTCTATACTCTGTTGTTACAATACTATCTGCGGTAATTTCACTTTAGAAATCACCACTATATACTTTTATGACTAAACTCACAGTTATATAGTCTAGATATATTTAACTATCAAGCTTTGCCTAACTTACTTGAACTACATTTTGTATGTGAATTTATAGATATCCCATCTGAGGCCTAAAAGTGTCTACAGACTATGAGATATTAGGATGTAATAATACTTGAGAAAAGTTAGAAGGTTCTAGTAACATGATGCAATAATACAACACTCTCCAATTTACGACAATTGAACTACACAACGTATGATTTGCACAGTTACTTTAACAAACATGCAATAAACTATCGCTTCTAAACACAAATAAATGTAAAACTCACTATATACTTAAATCAAAACAGTCGTGTATATCTAACAATAAACCCATCTTGAAGAAAATTATTTATAATATCTTTATACCATATACAAAGACTATTTTCAATTTATCCATAAAGTCTACGCATACAGTCTGTACCAACATTTGCGGTCCCCTTGATGGTTTTAATGTGAAACCTGTAGCTCCAGAGGTACAATGCCCACCTCATGATTCTTGCACTGTCGATTTTACATCTCTGGGTGTATTCAAGTGGCTGATGGTCCATCTGGATGATGAACTCCTTTCTGTACAGGTATTTATAGAATTTCTGGATGGCAAATCTGTTGGCTAGACATACTCGTTCGATCACAGAGAAGTTCTCGTTATTCACCAGCTTGCTACTGGTGTACATTATTGGAATTAGTCTCTCTTCATGTTCTTGCAGGAGTACTGCTCCAATTCCAACATCTGATGCATCAGCCTGAATGATGATAGTCTGTTAAAAGCTGGTATTCTAAGGACTGGTGAACTTCGTGACATGTTTTTTAACTTCTGGAATGTCATCTGCTTTGGTTGTTACCACTTCATCTTGTTGGGTTGGTCTTTCTTGGTCGATCAGTCAGGAATGCAGTGACTTCAGCACAGTTTGGAATAAACTTCCTATAGTGTGCTGCTAATCCCAGGAAGGATTTGACTTGCTACTTGGTTGTCAGAGCTGGTGCATTTGTATGTGGGTTAGCTTCTCCTCTTCCATGGATATCTGTCCAACACAGAATAACTGATATAGTACTTAGATGGTTGGATGATCAGACCTGCTGCTCTCACTCGCTTGAATAGCTCACTAAATTTATTCAGGTGGTCACCTCATCTGGCCGTGTGGGTCATAATGTCGTCCACATAACTCTTGATATTGTTGGTTTAGTGCAACATCTTTCTCATCATGTGGTTGAGTGTTAAAGCTGAGTTGACTAACCCAAACAGCATCCTCTTGAACTGGTAACATCCATCTGGTGTCACGAAGGCTGTTTTCTTCTTAGATTCTGACTCCATCAGGATCTACCAATAGCCTTTATTGAGGTTGATCCTGGAAAAGAATTTGGCCCCATCTAGTTTTACCCATAGGTTCAGAATCAGACTTTGTCACAAGGTTCAACTTTCAGAAACCTATGCAGAAGCAGTTTGAGCCATCACTTTTTTTTCAAAAATACTACTGTTGAATAGTAAGCTAAATTCAATGACTCAATGATTCAAGTTTCTAGCATTACCTCGACTTCTTGCTTGATTGAATCTCTGATCATAGTCTTGATCTTGTGTTGCCTGGTCTATCTATTAAGACATCTGCATACTGGCACAACAGATCTTGTAGCTCTTTCTTCTGCTTGTTAGTCAGTTCTTTACTTATGTTTATGTCTTTTTACATCTCATCTCCACCCAGTGCATCTATGACACCCACATCTGCAGTGCCCATCTATGCTTCAATAGCTGCACCTAATAGGTCTTCTTCCCTCTAAAAGTACCACTTTAACAAATTGGCATAGTAGATCTTAGTCTTCCCATCCACTTTCACCTTATAGTCAATTCTGTTGACCGATTTCTACGCTTCAAAAGGCCTCTTCCACTGCAGCACGAGTTTGTTGTTGTCTGTAGGTAGCAGAACCAAGACCTTCTGTCTGACCTTGAAACATCGATCATTGGACTTCTTCTCATAGAAATTCTTCTGACTGCCTTGAGTGGCATACAATCTCTCTTGAGCTAGTTGATAAATTTCCTCCAGCCAGTTTCTGAGGTTTAACACATACTGGTAGGTGTTTCTCCCTTCTGACTCTTCTTCTCTTATCTACAGTTCTTTCAATATCTATATCGTGCCTCGTAATATTCTTCTATACAGTAACTCAAAGGGCGAAAATCCTGTACTTGCTTGTGGGAATTCTTGGTAAGAAAATAATAGTGTCTGCAGGTATCTGTCCCAGTCACGTGGTCTCTCTTGGCACTTTTTCTTTAGCATGCTCTTTATGATTCCATTTACCCTCTCGCAAAGTCCATCACGTTTGATGTATTATGGGGTGGTAAAGTTCTGCCTAGTACTGATGAGTCTGCACACCTCTTGCCAGTAAGATATTCTACATAATTAGCTCTTTTCAATATTTATTTGTGATTTCATTTATGTGTCTGGTCCAAACTAGTTCTGAATCATGGATTAAACCCAGGAATTTTGCTGATGTGATTACATGGAGAAGGATTTCGTTGAGGTATAATTTTGGGGTCTCTTTACTCTTTTTAAGTGATTTTGTAAATAAGGTAATTTTGCTTCTGAAGTATTTATTTTAATTCTCACAGTAGTTTTCTATTTCCTTTAGTCGCAGTTGGAGATTTGTCGCAGCAATGGTTAGAGTGTATGAACTCTTCCATATGGCCACATAATCAACAAACTACAAAGAAAACCAGGAATTTGGATCTAACAGAGGAATTTCACTCATATACATGATGAATAGTATAGGGCTACCTACCCCTTCATGTGGGACACCTGCATCTGGAGTAAAATAATCCGAGAAGGTGTCTAATACATTTATTATTGCTTTTATATTATTTAGAAAGTTGGAATGATATCGATTAACACCTCACAATAGTTTCATTTGGTACATTTGAAATTTTAACCTATTGTACAATACACTGTCTAAGGTTTTATAGACATGGAGAAAGCTGGCAACGGTGCATTCATTCCAATTAAAGCAATTTATTATGATTTGTATGAGTCATACTAAATGGTCTATAGTTTGCCTTGAATTTTGGAAACCATTTTGAATTTCCGGTAACTTTTATGTCAATTCGAGATATGCCAATAGTCAGGAACCGATTATTTTTACTAGGAGTTTCCCAATACAGCTGGTAAAGCTGAATGGTCTATAACTGGCTGGCTTTCCTTCTTTCAGAAACATTAAAACATTTACTAGCTTCCATGCAGCTGGTGTGTGGTCTGATTTGAGGGACAAATTAAATATTGCCACTAGTCTCTCACACAATTGCAGAGGGCCTTTTTTGATTAGTATGTATTGTATTCTGTCTTTCTGGCTATTAAAGTTGACCAGAAGTTTTTTGGGTCTCGGTGTGTGTTTAATTTTGAGCAGTAGTCATCACAATTGTCTGCTTTAAGTCGTTATATTTGATTTCTTTTATTGTTTCTAAGTATATTTAATTTGATTTTGAGTTGTGGGTTTCGCATGTTCATGTATAATTTGCGAATTTTTCGACATCCTTTTACTGTGTTGAGAAGTTATTAATGTGGTTTCCATGTTTGGTTATTTTGTTGTGTTGTTTTGGGAATAGAAACGTCTGTTGCATTTATAAGGCAATCTCTGATTGTACTGCAGTAACTATCGATTATTGTATAGTTTTCAGCACTGGTAATGATCTTCTCAGGTAGGTTTATGTTTAATAATTCCTGATATTTTGACCAGTTTGTTTTTGCAGTTATATTTAGGAGTATTTACTTATGGATTATAATCTGGACTGAGACTGAAGTCACACGAAATCGGTAAATGACCACTGACAATATCTTTTATGATGTTAAAAGAGATATGGGAGCTCGCTACTGAGGGAGAGCATATACATAGATCTAAAATGTCATTGATACTATGTGCAAAATTTGTATGCATCGGAGTGTTATCGTTCATTGGGATGCTATCGGTATCTTTTATTAAATCCGGCAGTTTACTACTATTTGCTGCAGTTTTAGAACATACAAATAGTTCACTTTTGCTGTTTAGATATCCTGTTATAATGTAGTTTGGGTTGTATGTTGCTTTTTTGCATAGTAGTTTAGTATCTAGATTGCAGATCTGAGAGCAGTATACATTAGTGATAATAGAAGTATTGTTGTTTTTCATGTTGATTTCTAGAGATATAGTTTCATTTTCAGAACTGGGGATTATATTATTAACTGAGAACGTGTTTTTGTGCAGCTAGAATACCCCTCTTTTGTGGATTGTTATTTTCTCTGTCATATCTGCCAGTAGTATAGTTGTTTATGTTAAATCCCAGATATTTCTTTAACATTATTTTCGTTATAATAATTATATTCACTTTGGTGTGACTTATTAGATCTTGGAAGCTAGTCCACCTTGGATGTTTACGTCGAGAACTGTGACTTTATTCAGTGTGTGTGAATAGGTAGGCTGTTATTTGTGATTGTATTAGGGGTAATATTGCTGTTAAGTGTTTCTTAGTAGTTTTTATCAGGACTGTTATGAGATCTTCTTTTTGTTCTGGATTCCTTATTTCTGTGATGAATTCATAGATCATGTTTTTTAAAATATCCATGAGGTGGTTAGTTTGGGTTTTTTTTGTTTTTTTGATGTTGTTTTTTTATTTTTGGCTTGTTTTATTTTCTCTTTTATACATAGCTGGTATGGTTGAGACGACTATGGCACATGGTTCTATGTTTGTTCTGGCTAGGGAAGGAGAGGTATCCTGCTGTTTTGTACCAGTGCTAGTTTTGCATTTGCATGTGTGGTATATCTTCTGTCTGTGTGTTCTTTAGTTGTTCTTGTGTGTTTGTGTTGTTTCATATACTTAGATGTTCATTTTGATGGATTTGTATTTTATGTATCCCTTGTAGTTTGCACAGTGATTTTCATTGCAGTTGCAGCACTTTGGTTGTTCGTGTATTTTTGGAGATTCTTTTACTTTGTGCTTCAGACAACAAACAACACATTGAGGCTATGATTAAATGTGCTATTCATCTACTCATATAACTATGATTCTTAATGACAAAATATTTCCTTTTACATGTTACATAAGAGTTTTCACTTACATATGTTTTACAAATGCAGTCACTGTTACTGAAGATGATGTTTTTAAAGGCAGATACATTTTACAATGTTACTTTATAGTTTTCACTTATATATCTTTTACAAAAACAGATAGTGTTACGAGGTGGATTGTATTACTAATGTTCTATAGGTAAATGATTTTATTTAACAGATGGTATTACTAAGGTTTTATAGCAGGGTGGTTTACTAGATGTAGTGTGTGTGTTTTGCAAAGGTGGGTGGTGTTACTATACTTCCTTAAGACAGCACTTGTTTTAACTTATGTTCATAGTTTTCATTTGATTTTATAGGAAGATAGTGTTACTAACACATTTAAAACACTGCTGAAAGATTTTCTATCACATTTAATGTTTTCAACCAATTGTATTTTTATGACTTAGTATACGTTTAATGTACTGATTATACTTTTCTCTTCCAAATCTAATCATACTTTTGCATTTCGTGACATTTTATATATAAAATGCTTTCATTTCTATAATTAATACATAATGTCTAATCGTCATGAAAAGGATGCTTATTTAAATCTCATGTTTATCATTTAACTTATAAATTGATTGCTAAAGTTTAAAAAATTACTATTGTAGAAAATGTTACCTTCTGTATGTATCTTTATTTTGAACATTAATTGAACTGCTACATAAGGGTGTTCTTTCCACTTGTATCTGAGGTCACTAGCATTGAATCATTAACACATCATTAACAAATGATAGAAAGGTCAACATGTACAATCACCAAATGGTGTGGAAACTTCACCCTTATTGACGTACAGTTGATGGTATGTCGACCTTTTACTAAGAAGATAGGGGGCTGGTATAATTTAAATTTAAGTATGACAGAAAAGAAAATTTTATGAAAACAAAAGTTGAACAAGTCACTTATAATACATAGTATAAGTCATTATTTAAGATTATACATTTATTACTAACATATGAATCTCACATTTAATATTAAAAATAAATTGTTCAAACTCTATGTAATCATATATTTTCTACATAAATTAAAAATAGTAGATTATAGATTTAACATTCACTATACTTTTGTATGTCACTGAATTTAAAAGTCAGTAAACATAGTTTGCTGGTTCTTTCACTTTACATAGTGATACAAAACACTAATTGGGTATTCACGATATTCTATTTCTCAATATTTGATGGAATATGTACATTTCATGAGCGTAAAATTCTTGTATACTTTCTATTCAATTTGACTCCATGAACTGCTTATTCACGTTTCTAACAAATGTGTTTATCTGGTGAATTCCTCAAAGTGATTCGAACTAATATGATCAAGGTTTTTCTATTTTAGAAACTCTACAGAATATATCGTGCATTTGAAATCCATAACTAAAGTGACTATCCCTGTCGTGATGAACATTAGATCTTGACACTCCTGTTACCTCTCCCTTGCAGCTTAAAACTAGCATGTTTTACCATACTCTAATATGCTATTATCAGTTTGTGCAAGTAAAGACTTGTCAAGTATCACACATACTGAAACATTTAGTAACAAAACTTTAAGATACACTAATATACTATAAGTATTTTATTTTATGAAATACTGGATTAGCTTTCACGCAAATTTTGTACATTATGTTCATATTACTGTTTCAGTTATAGTTTATAATTTTCATTTGTGTATTATTATGTGACAACAAACACTAAATTTATCAAGAGGCAATTTAACTTAGACTTTCAAACAATATTACAGTAACACGTGATACATATCTTTTACACCTATACGAAAAACATTAAATATTATTATTTGTTTTATCAGCTACAGTTAATGTAACAGATTTTGAACAAATACACTTGAAGCCTGACTAAAGATCGAAAGTTAGATAATTATGTGTCTAGCTTAATTTTTGATGATAGCTAAAGATATAAAACAAATGAACATTTAAGAAAGTTAATAAAACAGTCTTATAGTTATCTAGACGTACTTGAAAACTCATATACACCAAAAATTATTGTTACGCCTCTAATCGTTAATTAATTTTCCGTAACTTTTTCCGACTAAACTTTAGCGACACAAGTCCTTTTTTAATAAAACTGGTTTATTCTTTCTGAATATAACTTTACCGATACACCTATTTTCAACAGTCGCTCTATAACAAACGCTATAACAACGAACAATACTTTCTGACTGCAGTTCAATTACTCACTACCTACACACACATTATCCCGTCACGTTGTGAGCGTCTTATATATATATACCAGACAAACATATATCTAGTAAATGCTAGAGCACTCCCGAAGGAACGGGATAGTTCTAGAAAGCAGGTGGCGTAACACTAGTCACGTGACCTCGCTGACGCAACACTGCCCCTCATTGATATTGTTCGTCCCGAACAATAACCACATAAAATAAAC